AAAACCTTGCCATGCAAACCCAACACACCAACTTACTGCACACCAGCACCTTTTCTGCAAACTTGCTTTTCAAATAGTCCCAAGCATGTACTGGTAAATGAAGTTATTCCTACCCAGCCACAGGACTTTGCATTTCCTTTTGTTGAACTGCTTGAAGTTCCTGTTTCTCCAGCCTATTGAGACCCATCCTTACAGACACCCAACCACTTGGTCTATCAACCAGTCATCCCAGTTTTGAATTGCCTGTGAACTTGCTGAAGACACATTCTGTCCCGTCATCCAGCATATTAAAGAAGAGGTTAAAGAGTATCAGCCCCTGGGGTACATCACTAGTAGGTGGCCTCCAGCTGGACTTCATGCTACTGATCACAACTTTTTGAGATTGGCAGTTCAGCCAGTTTCAGTCCAACTCACTGTCCATTTATCTAGCCCATATTCATCAGTTTGTCTATGAGGATGTTATTGGAAACAGGATTGAAAGCTTTTCTTATGCAGAGGTACACAACATCCACTGCTCTCCCCTCACTCACCAAGCCAGTCAGCCAATTGTAGAAGTCTGTCATGTTGGTCAAAAATGATTTTCCTTTCTTAAAGTCCATGTAGGCTACACTCCTCTTGTCCTTCATGTGTTTGGAAATGATTTTCAGTAGTATTTGCTCTGTCACCTTCCCAGGGATTGAGATGAGGCTGACTGACCTGTAGCTCTCAGGATTCTCCTTCTCACCTTTCTCAAAGACAGGGGAACTTTTGCTTTCTACCAGTCCTCAGAAACCTCCGTCAATCACCATGACCTTTCAGAAATAATCAAGACTGATCTCATAATGACTTTAGCCGACTGCTGGGGGCATCCCATCAGGGTCCATAGGCTTGTGTCAGTACAGTTTGTTTAAATATTCCCTAACCTGGTCCTCCTCCACTGAGGGTAAGTCTTCCTTGCTCCAGGCTTTCTCCCTAATCTCAGGTGCTTGGAACTCCAAAATGCAAATCCCACCAAAAAAAGATGGAGGAGAAGGCAGCATTTGGTACCTCAGCCTTTTCCATGTCCTTTATCACCAAGTCCCCTACAGCATTCAGCATCACACCCACACTTTCCCTCATCTTTCTTTGGCAGCTGATGTACCTGTAGAAGTCCTTTTTGTTGCCATTTACAGCCCTCACCAGATTCAACTCCAGGTAGGCTTCAGCTTTCGTAATTGTATCACTGCATCTTTAGTTAGTGCCCCTATATTTCTAATGGGGTCATTTGACTCTGCCGCCACCTCTTGCATGTGTCATTTTTATGTTTGAGTTTTATCAGGAGCTCACTGTTCACCCATTCAGGCTAACTGCCACCTTCGCTTGATTTTCTGCTTGTCCAGATAGACAACTATTGCACTTGGAGGAGGTGATCTTATAGAATCAAGCTTCTTGGATCCCTTGTCTTGCCAGGACCACCTCCCATGGCATTATTCCAAGAAGACCCCTCAACACTGAAATTTTGCTCTCCTGAGGTCCAGGGTTGTGATCCTACTTTTTGCCTTATTTCCTCTTTGCAGCATTCTGAACTGCACCATCTCATGATCACTGCAGTCAGGGCTGCACCCGACATTCGCATCCCCAACCGGTTCTTGCTTGTTTATAAAAGTATGAGGTCCAGCAGAACTCCCCTCATCAGCTCTTTGATTACCTATATCAGGAAGGTATCATCAGTGCACTCTGGAAACCTGGATTGCTTGTGCCCTGCTGTGTTGTCCTCCACAGATATCAGGTCATTAAAATCCCCCATAAGGACCTGCAAATGTGAGGCTTCTTCAAGCTGTCTGAAGGTGGTTTACTTCTTGTCCCTGATTAGGTAGTCTGTAGCAGACAGACACCTACTACAATATTGGTAGCTGTGGGCTGACACTGGGCTGCCCACTGATTCTGACCCAAAACCTCACGTGGCTAATCGCTCGACCCAAGGCAGGGCTCTGTGCATTCCTGCTGCTCTGTCATGTAAAGGTCATTTACACAGTCACGGGGAAGACCATAGATTGATAGAGTAGGGCTTCTGCTAGGTGGAGAGGTTTGTGCTGCTTCACCTGGTTGAAGCTAGTGATAACAGTAGCTTCTTTTTGTGAAAACATCCACAACGTTTCCTCACGTTTTAATGTTTTCCTATTTAGGCATTGCCACACATGATGTTCAAGACTTAGGTTAAGCTAGCAGGTGTTGCTGTCACGTACCTTGTCTGCTTGATTCCAATCCCATCCAGGGTTCTGTAACAGCTTCAGGAAAGCATCAGCACCAGATCCATCTTGCTGTAAAAGAATCTTGTTTACTACCAGTTCATTATATTTTTGCTATTACTACAATGTCCTTGATGCAGCATCCCAAGACCCCTTTGCTGTGCCTCTTCAAGGGCAAAAAACCTAATTCTTCCAATGTACAATGGGACTGAGAAGTTTTCAGCTTCCCTTGATGCTTTCATTCATTCCAACAAAAAGCCTTCATTAGAGTTGAGAAAATATATTGATTTCTTGTCCAGCTTAATCACTTCAGGTTCAAGGGACCACAGAGAGGACTTGACTATACTAATTTTATAAACATGAACAAGGGAACTGGGGTTGTTTAGCCTGGAGAAAAGGAGGCTGAGAGGGGGACCTTATCCCTCTCTACAACTACCTGACAGGATGTTGTAGCCACATGGGTGTTGGTCTCTTCTTCCAAGTTACAAGTGATGGGACAAGAGGACATGGCCTCAAGTTGTGCCAGGGGAGGTTTAGATTGGATATTAGGTAAAATTTCTTCACCGAAAGGGTTGTCAAGCACTGGGACAGGCTGCCCAGGGAACTGGTTGAGTCATCACCTCTGGTGGTATTTAAAAGATGTGTAGATGTGGCACTTAGGGATCTCCCTGCCATCACTTTGCATAATTATCCCTTCTTCCTAAATCTGCAAAAAATGTCTTTTGTACTGCTTTTATTTTTTCTCTCTTATTTCTGAAACATTTCCTAATATTTTCCATCTGATACAAAATCTCTTGTCATTCCTTTCAGTGCAGAATGTCTTAAGTGTCATCTGTTTTTGCTGTGTGGTTCTCTCTTTCTTCCTCTTCCTTTCACTTCCTTTACAACCTTCCTCTAGTTCTTCCTTTTCTACTTACCACCACTATACTTCTAAATTCCTTTACTTCTGCCTTGCGCAGCTGTCCTTCCTTCCCTTAAATTGTTCTCTATCTTTTGGGGGTTGTTGTTCCACTATTAGTCCTCTCTTTGCTGTTGCATTCAGGATCAAATCAGACTGATTCTAAAGTGGCAAGAGCAAGTCATAGACATATAAGAGGTTCTGTTCAGACACAGCACTCTGTACTCACCACTTCACTTCTAAGGCCTTTCATGCCACTCTGCATGGTTTTTTGGTGTTTTGGTGGTGGGTTTTTTTTCTCCTTTATGGCTTTGGTAGCATAAACTTTCCTAATCCTGCACTTCTTTTTTTTCCCCTTGTTCCCCTGTCACTCTTGTGCTTTCCCCGTTTGTCATTTAGGTCTTCTTTTCTTGTGTGCTCTCTATTTATTACCATGTATTTTGAATCAGTGGCTACTTAGGTCTTCTTAGGCTTCCCTTTCATAAGTTCTCTCCCACTCTCTTTCACCTTTTTGTTTAGAGCAGGCAGTGAGACTCTTTCTGTGTGTTGGAAAGAACTGGTCCCAAAAAATCCTCGCCTTGCCCAGAAAGAGGAATTGCAGCTAGTGTGTGAAGGGATGATAGTGCCTCTGGTGGGTCCCCTCTGTGATGTGTCACATCATGATGTGACACAGTATCCTCCAGGCTCAGCCCTCACTGTCCCCAAATTACAGCACCGGATAGATAAGGGCCGTCCCGAAGCACCCTCCCTTGCTAATATGCACATGTGCCGTTCTGCACTTTCTGTGCAGTTTGAAATAAAAACCTCCCTGTACCAAATTTACCATCTGTCCAGGGTCACTGCAGCTTAGGAGATGGTATACCAGATTTTTCCAAAAATTGAACAGTGGGCAGAACTAGTCTGGCTGATCCATCTTCTCCATTGGCTAAGAAATACAGTGCACATATGCTGTTATACCTAAGTGGATGGTTGCATATTTGGGGCTGTGTACAAGTTTTGATGGCATTTGCTATTTGTTTAACAGACCATGACTGCTCTGAAGAAGCCATTATAGTCACTTATGGATATCTGAACTTAAGCACTTATTGAAAAGTGGATTTCTTGACATGATATATGGAGTCATTGAGTTCTACAATATAAATCCTTTGTGTTGTCCTTAGTTGGCAAACCACTGAAGTTGTCTGCTCAGTTGTCTGCTCTGAGCCAGTCACTATGCATATATGTTGTCACAGGAACTGCTTTTAAAGTTGCAGAGGAGAAAAATAGCCATGAACATCAAATTCTAAGTATCAATAATACGAGCATCATAAGTCTTTTCTGATTAGTTAAAGGTCTTAGGTTATTTTTTAACTTTCCCTTTAAAATGATTATAATAATGGGTTTGGGTTGTTTGAGCTAAAAAAATACATAAACAGTTCATTTTTACTGATTTAACACTGATAAAGTTTATAGTTCTAAAGGTTTTCTAAATGGAGGTAGATCTTCTGGTTTGGTTTTAATAAAAGAAATGTGAGGACTAATTTATCTTTACTATGTGACATGATTTTGAAGTAGTATCTTTACAAACCCAACACCTAAGGATCTCCCAACACTTAAGTAGCACAGTTTAGTAGCGTGTACAATTCCTTCTGATGGCGTCTAACCTGCTTCGTCACAGTAATAGTATATGGCCTTCTGTAAAGCCTTCATCCTGCAGCTTTCATCTTCATGATTCTCCTAGACCATGGCCTTCAGAGACACCAAAGATTGTTGCTTTTTTTAATCTTCACACTTGTGATCAAAGGGGTACTTTTTTACTGTAGCCTTTCTTATGACCAAAGTGTTTTTAAAATAATTTTATTTTCTCTGTGGATTAATGTTCAAGCGCTGTTAATATGGGCACTGAAGTATATATCTTCTTTGAGTCACAGGTTTTCTTATAAAACTGGAGCTTTGGCAATAAACTTTAAAACACATTATTTCCCATACACTGGATCTGGTTGGGATAGAGTTAACTTTTTTCATAGCAGCCCACAGGGTGCTGTGTTTTGGATCTGTGGCTAAAACTGTTCGTAACACATCAGTGACCCCCCACCAATGTATGGGGGGGCCAACCCACTACAGCCATGAGAGTCAGACTATGGGAAAGTCTGTCCGTCTTAGAACTGAACGTCTCTTGCTACAGAACAATAAACAGCGTGTGACTTGAGTGCTCTCACTGCTGCATGACAAGTATTAAATATGCTCAAGGAACCTGTGTTGTATAGCTTTTTCCTATTACAGATTACATGATCACTCCTAGATGTGTTTGTTGTGAACTGAATGATTTACTACTTAATATCAGCTTTTTCTCTCTTGTTTTTAGCCCCTTGTGAAGCCAACACATTCTTTTGCCACAGTAATATGTGTATTAATAATACATTGGTCTGCAATGGACTCCAGAATTGTGTGTATCCTTGGGATGAAAACCACTGCAAAGGTAATGTGTGGAATTTGAAATGTCAAGTCATTTAGACTGCATGGGATACAGCATATTATCCTTAGTTTCCTCTTAAGTATGTGCCAGACGGGTCAAAGCTCAGGAAGAGTAATACAGGGAGAGCGTACAAAAAGCAACAGGGAAAACAAAGGCAAGTGAAAATACTGATGGATTTTACTTTCAGTGTTTGCATTTGTTTTGCTTGGTGTTGATTTGTGTTGGTTATGTCCTTCTGGTTGGTTATGTCCTGGCAGGCTTTCTGATCACTTCGTCTCTGTTTCCCGTACAATCTAAAATGTAATTGAAAGTCATATTTTGGTTCCTTTGCCATAGTTACCTTTGTAGTGGAGTACCATATGGGTAGCAGGTGTCTTTCAGCTGCATACCATGTCTATAATAGCCCAATTATAGTGAGCTAAAATATCAAGGTGAAGTGGAATTAACACTGTAAGAAAGCAACCAAATCTACCTATAATCAAGTGACATTGAAGAGCAAGGAACAAGCATAGGAAATCAGCCGTAATGTCTAGTACATAGACAGGAACTGATGTTCCTGACCAGGCGCTGACAATGGTTTCTAAATATTGCTCTGTGTTTCTTGGGGAGGGGGGGAGAATCAACGTCTGTGTTGTCTTCAGGGAAAAGAGCTTAACTAACTTACGTTGCAGGCTAGTGAGACAGTTTGCTTCCCTCTCGCCCCTCCTTGCTACTGCAGATTTGTTCCTGGAAACATGGGATATGCCAAATTTAGGAACCAATCAAGAAAAAAAATTCAGAATGAGGTGGATTAACAGTCATCCCATAAGTCTGCTGAAGCCTGTAAAATCCTGACAAGCAGTGCAATAGGGTAAAACTCAAATGAAAACATACTTCAAAAGGACACAGCAAAACTGTGGCATGGAATAATATTCTTCAAAGAATATAATACACAATTGGGAAATAATTATCTGCTCTCTACTTCTTCAGCACAGAGGAAAAGAGCAAACCTTCCCCATTCTTTAATTTCCAGAATGATTTTAATCTTTCATTTGCCAACTATCTTTTGATTTGGTCTTGTGCATTTATCCTTTCTGGTTTTTCTGACTAGAAAAAGGCGGTTTGCTGATTCCAGCAAAAAGGTTGGTTGCTGCTGTGTTGCTTTTTCTAACTCTGCTACTTCCCCAGAGTCTCTGTCAGTTAGAGAAACCCCAGGTGAATCTACAAGAGTAGGCAATGGGGAGTACTGGTACGTTCGGTTTTGGTATCTAGGAGATTATGAAGAGATGGATGTTATTGTTTTGGTGCCAATAACTTTCATTTCAAAGGCTTTTTATTAACTCCATTGATATGTTGTAGGTTGCCAGGAAAAAAATACACTAAACTGGGTGTTGAAACTTAATCACAGTTGTCAAGTCTTGCTATGCCTGTGAGAGAGAGACTGATGCGAATGCTTTCAGCTTGGATTTCTGCAAGGCTCAGTCACCGTCTCACGTGTCTGCAGCCATCTGAAAATAAATCACAGAGAAATATACACAACAGTAGGGTGAAACTGTTTTCCTTTTTATTATTTTCCTGCATATTTTCTGTTTTTCTTCATTCACAACACTAAATTTGCTGGCTAACTTCCTAGAGGCCCTTGAGTTAAGGATAGTAGGTAGGATCAGCTTTTGGATTTTTATGGATGTTTAGAAAAGTTGTGGTAATTAATAGGGCAGGAACAAAAGCAATAACTTGCACACTTTTTTTTTTCTTTCTGAAACCTCAATTTTAATAACTTTTCTGCTTTCTCCTGATTTAGATTTTTCATTGAATACTGTCAACAGTCCCAGTCAGCTCATAAATATTGGGATTTCACTGAAGTTCCCAATGCAAAGAAGAATTTATTTTTAAATCCTGTAAAGTCTTTCTCTTTCATTGGTCCTAATGTCCCAGTTGCATGTATTTACTGGAAGAGACAGAAAATAATGAAGAGAACATCTGTAACAGTCTTGGGGGCTTTAGCAGCAAATGGAGTTCAGAGGTGACACTAAAGCCATCTGCTTGTTATGGTGGTTGCTTTTTTATAAAAAAATGTAAATAATTCTTTCATCTAATTAAGCTTGTAATACACCCTGAATAAATCATTTTCCAAGGGAATAGGCACACAGAGGACCTGTGTGTTGTTTCTTTGGCTTTCATGAATACCTGATTTCTTCCTTTTTCGTTTTTATCAGTGAGATTGATTAAGTGAACTCAAACATAGACTAGGCTCAACTTTGCAGTAACCTGTGAACCCATCATGGTTGTTTTTATTCTTGAACTGCCATTAACGCTGTGCTTTTTTTTTTTTTCTTTTTTTCTCCTGTCACAGAAAAAAGAAAAGCTAACCTATTGGACCAACTTACCAATACCAGTGGGACTATAATTGGGGTGACTTCTTGCATTGTGATCATCCTCATTGTTATCTCTGTTATAGTACAGATCAAGCAGCCTCGTAAAAAATTTGTCCAAAGGAAAACAGACTTTGATCAAACAGTGTTCCAGGAGGTGTTTGAGCCTCCTCATTATGAGTTGTGCACCCTCAGAGGGACAGGGCCTACAGCTGACCTTGCTGATGTTGCAGATGACTTTGAAAATTACCATAAACTGCGGAGATCATCTTCAAAATGCATTCATGACCATCACTGTGGATCACAAGTGTCTAGCATTAAGGGCAGCCGTAGTAACCTCAGCACAAGAGATGCTTCTGTCTTGACAGAAATACAACCCCAGCCTGTAAAACCACTCATTCAGCCCATGAACAGGAGAAATATCCTTGTCATGAAGCATAGCTACTCACAAGATGCTGCAGATGCGTGTGAGATAGACGAAATTGAAGAGGTACCAACCACAAGTCACAGGCTGTCCAGACATGATAAAGCTGTTCAGCGGTCAGTATCAATAGATTTTTGATGAAGACTATTGTGTGAGGACTTGATTGCCCAAACATATTCACTCTTTATTCAGTAAAGACATATTTTCTTTATTCTTTATTTATTGTTTAAATTTCTGTTTCCTGATAGCACATACCATTATATTATCTCTCTCTCTCTTCCTGTCTCTCTTTCTCTCATCTCTGCTCCTGTTTCCTGAAGGATCCTGTATCTCAGTTTTACCTTTCTACTTTATATCTTTCTTTTTCTTTTACTATTTTACCCATACCCACATGCATACACGCACAGATCAACAGAGAACAGGTACAATTTTTAAAAACCAAAGAAGATTTTGTGTGAATCTAGTTTTTGAAAGAGCCACATACACGTGGTTTCCTTGTAACTGAGGTGGCCTTGAGTATCATCCACTGTTGGTCTAACATATCTAAATCAATACATCAATAAATAAAAAATTACATGTATCCATTTTGATGCATGGCACAATAATGAGAAACTCAGTCCTGGGGTAAGGAAACCCCTTTTCTCATGAAACATTATATTTTATATAATGAATGACAATATTTGCAAAACTTTACTGTATCTGTTCCATTATTAATCACAGTATCTTGACTTGTCATATTAACATAAATATATATATATATTGATTAGAACATGAGACAGCATAGTGAATAGAAAATACTCATATATTTACATATAAGAATGTAGTTAAAAGGGATCTTTCTAATCAATAAAAAAAGTAAATTCAAGCATGATATTTTTAATAAAAGCTATTTCTACTGTATATTGCACTTTGAATGACTGTAAATATCAATGACAAAGTTTACAAGTAAAAGAAAAAGAAAAGCAGAAACATTTATGAACCATTTATTTGAAAAAGAATACAGAAACTTTTTATATATAGTTGTGTTTTCTCTTGCATGCATTATTTATGCACTTCTTGTGACTGTTTACATGCCCTCCATATTTTCTTTGCACATTAAGGCATTTCTATCTTATTATAATAAGTTATTTGATAATTTTAATCTAATTGCATGCCAATGTAAATTACTTCATGATTATTGATCAGATTATCAAGGTGTACTGTTTATTAAGTATCTATATGCATATATTTCTTTTTTTCTATGCAAACACTATTATTTTGAATGAAATAGCCATAACATTCCAGGTTCTGCCTCATTGGGTCTCTAAGCAAACATGAGTCTGAGTACAACACAACTAGGGTCTAAGAGACAAACTCAAGGTAAGTAAACATACCTATACAACAATTGAACCATCTGTTCCTTTCCATTTTATTTGTTATATTGCTAAAATGCATGTTAGTTCTCAAGTTATATGTCACTTTGTATGGAGAGAGCCAGGTTCAAATACTGAGAAAACTGAAAGACCACTTCAGCATTGTAAACTAAGGAAAATCTATTAACTCCTTATTCTTGACAGCACTATGATCACCCCCTAGCTAAATATAATCTTCATTCCAAACACATGATAAAGACAACAGATGCTTTGCATGGCTCTGGTATTTGTTTTGGATTTTTGTTTTTGGATTTTTTTTGTTGTTGTTGTGGTTTTTTTTAATTTATGAATATAAAATTTAGAGTCCCAGCATGTAAAAACTGGCAATCTAACCCAAGACAGGAAGATGTGGAACTATCTGTTTTCAGTTCATTTTATTCATTCAACCTTGTGAATTGTTGGGGGAAGGGTCTATGGTAGTACTGATAAAGTTCGGGATTCTGTAGCACTAATGTTAATGTTTGCAAAGTAAACTCCCTATTTTCAGTCTTTTCCTAGGCTTTTCATTTTGTATAATTTGTTATCAACACTTGATCTCAATAAACATAATCTCAGAAGTTTATAATGAAGTTATAGAAACCTGCTACTATGTCAATTTACATATGTATATGTATATACACATAGATATGCATATATCCATGTTTATATGTGTATATATGTATACAGCAATTATGCTGGGAAAGAATCCATTAATGCTTTTATTTTCCCTAGATAGTTTAGGTAAATATTTGTCTATATTTTTCCTCATACCGAGAACATATTTTAACTTTGTTTTGCTTTCAGACAACTATTCATGCAGTCATGCAAACTCTGAATGGAAAAAATCTATAGTGAGTTGTTTCAGCTGTCTGAAAGAGAGAGTGGACATGTTTCTAATTTCATTTCATTGCGTTTATCCAAACCTAAGAAGTACAGACATATCTTATCTCCTTAGCAAGATATTCCCATTGCACAATAATATGTTTCTTTTGTAATTTTGTTGCTGGCCACCAAGTGCTCCTTAGTTTTTAAATACCTTTGGAGATTTGCTGCAAGCTTGAAGAAAAAATTAGCTCCTAACTGACACTGTTCCCCCCCCCCTTTTTTTTTTCAATCTTAGTTTTATTTCAGTTGATATGTTTTATGTCTGTTATTTACTTGTTTGTTGTGTGATATGTGGAAGAAGATTTACATTGAATTTTTGTTATATGTACGTTGTTTTCATTATATAGACTGCTTGAGAATAGTGCGCTCCTGGGTGATTTTGAACATGCTACAATGAAATGTGAAACTATCGTCCTTGGAAACACCAGCTAGAGGTTTTATGGACTGACCAGCTAATCTCATATCATGACAAAATTCAGCAAACAGTGTTGAGTAAAATTACTAGAAGGCAATAAGACTTTGGTTATTATGCTTATTGGTCATTTATCTTTTCCTTTTTCTCTCTTCTTTTCGTTGCAAGTTAAATTCCCAATTATTTCAGGAACAATTTATTGAAATCAGGTATTTAGCCATTCATAATCACTTCAATAGAAATGTTTGTTGGATAAGCATCTAGCAATATGACTGAATTTGACATTGAGAAAATAATCTGCATGTATGTTACTGAATATTTGAGTTGGCAAATATCCCTTTATTAGATACATTGTAAAAAGCATGCATTCACAAATATTGCTGTTACTGTTCCATTTCTGTGTCATATGCTTGCTACCTGTAACTTTTTATATAAAGATACATAAAACAATGGATAATAATTTCTTACCTTGAGTTTAATGGCAATGTTTTCTTTTACCAAAGTTACAAATTTTGTGTAATTCAGGACATTAAGCTCAAAATGTAGGTTTTAGGAACTTGAAAGCCAGATACATCACAGAATCAGCTGTCTCTCATCCCTCACTTACTGAAAAGCAAAATACATTTATTTCTTGAGATTCAAATTAATTCATAATACATAAAGTTATTCACCTAATTTCAGTTAAAAGGTTTGTGATAACCTTTGTGTTCAATTCTGTACTCTAAACTAATTTATTTCCATGACAATTATTGGGAAGTTTGCTTCAGTGTAGGAGAGTAGCAGATTTTTATCATTTTTACAAATGTTATGGCTAGGCTCCAATTTTGGAGATACAGATGTAAATCACTTCCTTATGCAAGATAAGATTATATTCATAATTCAAGCTATAAATATTAGTAACCAACACTGAAGTAAAATCTGAGAGGTGTAAGTTATTAAGAAATTATTGTAGGCTGAAAAGCCACAGTTATGTAAAGTAGAAACCCCCCCTCATTTAAGAACTCAATAACCATGCATGAAACCATAGCTTCTATTTAAAGCATTGTCTTCCAAATTCTGTTTCAAAACAAATCCCAGTTCCTTCTTAAACATATTCTGTCATTCATGGTTTTTAGGTTTTTCTGTATAAAAATTTTGCTAGTTTTATTGAAAAAGGGGGAAGATTTCCATAGGTCTTCCCAAAGCATAAGTAGATGGGAAAATGGAAAACATGAAAGACTGACATAAAAATTAAGATGATCGATATCAGTTCTTTAAATATATAGTACATAATTTACATAATTAAAAATACAGGAAATCTGATTTCTACAAAGCATTTTCTACAAATGTGATTTAGAAATTACATGAGAAGAAGAAGGGTTTCAGGTATTTTGCTTCCTTTTTTTTTTTTTTGTACACTGTATTTGCAATGTATTTTACATAATTTGATTGTAGCTTGATTAATTTGTTTGTTATCACGTTAGCTGCAAAAAACACTATTTCATCCTCTGCAGTCCTTGAGAGTCATTGAGTCATCTCTCAGTTACATAGATTTTTAGCATGCACTAATGGTTCATTTCCAGGTCAGTATCTCTTTCCAAGTTCATATACTTTATCACTGTTTTTTTCCTTAATCTTTCTGAGTCCTATCTCATGATCCTGTCTTAAGTATATTATTTGCCACATCCATGCTTAAAATGGATGCATCTATGCATCCATTATAAAATCATGGAAGAATGAAAGACTTGCTGAAAGAAATGCATATACATGCACACACATTTATGTATATTTATAAATATTTGCTAATGGAGATAGTGTATAAATAAATATATAAGGAGAAATCTAAATATGTGAATTTAGCCTTGAATTAATTATATTAGTCACCTAGAAAAATGCTGAAGCCTTGGATTTCAAAGTTGCTATATATATAAGTGCCTAAATCCCACTGAAACACAGAGTTGGTCTAGTCCCTCCTAGACAAGCACACAATGAAATCCATTTTATGATTTTTCCAGTGAAGATATGACTGAGAGAACTTAACTGGAGAAGAAATGGATATTAATAATTTTGTTGCATGCACATCCTTGCTTTCTTACAAAAACCTAATTGCATCAAGGAAAATGAGTGAGAAACATAAAACCCAGTGTAAATAGAACAGGTCAAGCAAAGTGAGAATGGTAATGCTTACTTGATCTTGGAAACTCCTTTAGAAACATGTTGTCTAATAGCTAAGTATACCCTTAAAAAACACACCACTGTAAGTGACAAAATATGTCTATACTAGGGTAAAAGCATCAAATTATAAAATTATCTATAAAGAGAAGTAACAATAAATTCAAACCCAATTCAAATATTATAACTAAAATATTTAATTTATAAGTAATTATATTCTGTATATAGTCAGTGTAAATAATAGCCTAGTCCACTATACTGCAAACAGTGAAGATGATAACTTTTTAGTATCACACAACAGTAGGGTATTTTAATGTGATCTATAAAACTCAAGATATTAAAATAAAAGGGGTTGTTGCTGAAAGTAAACGGTTTGCCTTTCCTGGGAGTATTTTTTATTATTATGAAGACATTTTCACTTTTTTAAAAACAGAAAGCAGTTCAAGCAAGCTAGTTCAAACAGACAAGCTAGTTCAAGCAACTTCAATTAGCTATAAAGAGAATACTCAAAACTGGTATCTGACCACATACTATAAGTGAAATTTGACCTATGCTATTACACCTTTTCCATTATATGGAAAGAAGATTTAGCTTGTTAAATTAACACCGCTACATATATTCTGCGTAACAACCTAGTAAATTACCGTGGACTTGCTGAGCTGGTAGTTTTAGCTTCATGCATTTTACCTCATGTTTGCCTTAAGCTAAAATTAAGAATGGTAGTTATAGATCGTTTTGGTTTGACTGGTGCAATGTGTGTGATGTATAGCCGTGTTGACAGTACGCTTATTTCTTATATATTTTTTAAAGATGAGGTTTTGTTATCACAGTGCATTGCCATATTGTTCATAGATTTGCTTTTTTTTTTTTTTTTTTCTCTCCCACGGCTGTAGTGATATGTACATACTTTTCTTTTTAGATGATAGTGTGAACAACCACTCCCAACCATTTTTCTCTGCTCCAGGAAATATAGTCTTTTCAGTTTGTGAAGTCTTCTGTGCAGCATCATTTAAAAATCTCAGGAAGTCCATTTTATAAACCAACTCAGTGTAAACCTTTTCTATCTTCCCAATTCTAAAAACAGCTTGAAGAAAAAAAAAAAAAAAAAAGACTCTGAGAAATGTTAGTGCCTCATTCTATTTTTCTCCAATTTTTATGCTGGAGATATTCTCTTGAACCTAGCAATGATGTAATCAATGGGAGGGAATGAGAAAAAGTAGAAAGGTTTCCTGCTCAAAAGCAATTGCTAGTGCACACACACACACAGAAAAAAAAATAGGCAGACAAAGAAAAGAAATAGAGAAAAGTATGCTAATAAGAAGAAGAGTATGAAGAATTATTGGTTATACCAATTCACAAATTTACAGACACATTTAGGACAGATAAATTCCTTAGCCACCAAATAAAAATGTACTATCCATGCCCAACTCCAAAAGATAGCTATAATACCTCTGCTTTATAGAACATTGTCCTGCAAACAAAAAAAAAGTTGGTCTTTCGTGTTTTCTTGTCTTCTACTTTATATGCAATCTCCCTGGTAGCACAAAGATATTCCAGCTGAGGGAGCACAGATGAAGAACTAAGTGATACAAAGTATGAAAACTGCACCATTCAAAAATCTTTCTAACAGAGAATCATAGAATGATACAATCACAGAATGGTTTGAGTTGGAACTGACCTTAAAGGTCATCTAGTTCCACACCCCTGTGCCATGGGCAGGGACACCCTCCACTAGACCAGGTTGCCCAAAGCCCCATCCAACCTGGCCTTGAACACT